CAGAATTGACTTGACAGCACATGATTATTTTTATGAGGGAAGAAAAGGAGCATCTTTTAAAACTCACTCTGCATGTGCGTCTTTGAAAATTTATGTAAAACCTTTTATGTATTACATAAAACCTAGCTTTGTATCTAGTTCTGTGTCTCTCGGATACTGAACCAATGGTATTTAATTATTCCCTATTAAAAACATTTTGCATCCTGCCTTCATCCTTGAAGATAGCTGAGTAATGTGTAACACTATGATTTTTAAAAAAAAACACAGTATGGTACTGTATGGTTACAGTAAAGCTACAGGAAGCCCGATTTAGGCGGAATATCAGGAAACACATCTTAACTGTTAGAGCAGTATGACAATGGAACCAATTACCTCAAGAGGTGGTGAGCGCTCCAATGCTGGAGGCATTCAAGAGAAAATTAGATGACCATCTGTCAGACCTGCTTTGATGTGGATTCCTGCATTGAGCAGAGGGTTGGACTCGATGGCCTTATAAGCCCCTTCCAACTCAATTATTCTATGATTCTACGATACTGCAGTTGAGGATTTTTCTGTTTGTGTGCTGGTCGTGGCCCATGGATATAATTCATATTTATTGACAATTTATTTCTTTAATCAATTTATACAATGTTTACCTGTCAGTTCCAGATCAGGCACCAATTCTCCTTGGACATTTCGGTTGTCCTCCCTCTATATCAGTGTTTTCCAACCTGGGAGGCGTGACCCCCAAATGTTTTGCAAAATATTTTCTGGGGTGGGGTGGGGTCACCTTACATGTGCTGTAGCCCTTGTTAAATAATTTCTTCCTTGACATTTTGGAGCAGGACGTTAAAATGGTGTGTATATGCATGTATAAGTAACTTGGATTATTATGGCAAAAGAAGCTTCTAGATTCTGAGAATGGATGACCATATGCATGTATAAGTAACTTGGATTATTACGGCAAAAGAAACTTCTAGATTCTGAGAATGGATGACTTTACTCCATTAAAAATGCCTTTTTATGAAAACATGGTGGAAGGGGTGCAGGTAACCTGACTATGATAAAAGGAGGTTGTGACTCAGAAAAGGTTGGTAAACACTGCTCTAGATCGACGACTACACATCACCCTTTTACTTTTCCCCTAGCCAGAATATTTTCCCCATGTAATCAAGAGTACTTGAGGAACACGTTCTTATTATATAGAAGAATGAAAGGCCCCTCCATGCATGGAGGTCTATAGCTACTAGAATGGTCCATCGCTCTGCATGCAAATTAATAGTGCACTGGTTAAACTGCTGTAGTGCAGCCAAAAATTGTGCTCATGACCCAGGGTTCAATCCCAAGTAACCGGCTCAAGGTTTACTCAGCCTTCCATCTTTTCAAGGTTGGTGAAATCTGGTGGGCAGGGCAATGTGTAGCCTGTATAATTATGAACTGCCCAGAGAGTGCTTTAAATACTATGGGGTGATATATAAGCAGTACACGTTGCGGTATTTGATCATATATTTATCCTACTCAATTTATTCTAAGGAATGCAGGGTGGAATACATCTCTTTTGCTTCTCTCCTGTCCACTAGACAGATTGATTGATTGATTGATTGATTGATTGATTGATTGATTGATTGATTGATTGAATTTGTACCTCACCCATTTAGTCCACTGACTACTCTGGGCGGCTAACAACATATAAAAATAAACCATTTAAAATATGTATTAAAATATTTGAAACCCATGATTCATTTTTCAGGTATCTGAGCAGTGTACAAGTGTCAGAATGTGGCAGTAACTAGTTACAAGTAACATAGTTATCTGCGCTACTGGTTTACAAGTAATCTAATTAGTAATTATAAAGGCTTTTAAAAGTCAGGTAACACCTCATTGTTACTTAGGTGAAATGAATAATACATAGCTACTGTCAAAAAATTACACATACAGGACATTTTATGACATTTTAGGAGAACTTTGATAGCAATTTTTCCAGTTTTATGCCATTCTGTTATAAATCCTATGTGGGAGGATTTTTTTCCCCCTTTGGGTTTACAAAATAAATTACAAGGTGCCGTATCAGAATCAGAGAGTATATCCCTGTTTTTTCTGGGCTGCCGGTAATGGCAAAGCAATGTGCCAATAATACACAACAAAACAAATGACTTGCACAATTGGAGCAACAATAATGTTAAGGGCAACCTGATTGCTAAGACATAATGAGTAATGCAATGCGCTTTTTAAATAAGCCCTGACAAGATTATGACAAATAGTGTACAATACAATAGACTTGGGAGAAGGAAAGCACAATCCGGTGAAACTTAATCGTGGCTGAATAGCATTGATGTCTATGGGTTTTAGGTTAGTCATGACTGAAGCTGCAATCCCATGCTTATTTATTTAAGATATTTATATCCTGCCTTTCTCCTGAAAAGGACACAAGGCAGCTTACCGTATCAAAAAACGGCATTAAAAGCTAAGAATATTAAATTGTTAGAGTTTTAAAAAACAACTGAACAAATCTAACATGAAAAATGCTCCAACTACCATACAATTGCTCTCATTTCACATGCTAGCAAGGTTATGCTCAAAATCCTACAAGGCAGGTTTCAGCAGTATGTGGACTGAGAACTCCCAGAAGTACAAGCTGGATTCCGAAGGGGCAGAGGAACTAGAGACCAAATTGCTAACATGCGCTGGATTACGGAGAAAGCCAGAGAGTTCCAGAAAAATATCTACTTCTGCTTCATTGACTATTCAAAAGCCTTTGACTGTGTGGACTACAACATACTATGGCAAGTTCTTAAAGAAATGGGAGTGCCTGACCACCTTATCTATCTCCTGAGAAATCTATACATGGGACAGAAATCAACAGTTAGAACTGGATATGGAACAACTGACTGGTTCAAAATTAGGAAAGGAGTATGACAAGCCTGTATATTGTCCCCCTGCTTATTTAACTTATATGCAGAATACATCATGCGAAAGGCAGGACTGGATGAATCCCAAGATGGAATCAAGATTGCCAGAAGAAATACAGTATCAACAACCTCAGATACACAGATGATACCACTCTGATGGAAGAAAGTGAGGAGGAATTAAGAACCTCGTAATGAGGGTGAAAGAGGAAAGCACAAAAATTGGTCTGAAATTTTACTTTCTTGGGCTCCATGATCACTGCAGATGGTGACAGCAGCACCCAAATTAAAAGACGCCTGCTTCTTGGGAGGAAAACAATGATAAACCTAGACAACATCTTAAAAAGTAGAGACATCACCTTGCTGACAAAGGTCCGCACAGTCAAAGCTATGGTTTTTCCAGTTGTGATGTATGGAAGTGAGAGCTGGACCATAAAGAAAGCAGACCCCCAAAGAATTAATACTTTTGAGTTGTGGTGCTGGAGATGACTCTTGAGAGTCCCCTGGAATGCAAAGAGAACAAACCTATCAATTTTGAAGGAAATCAACCCTGAGTGCTCACTAGAAGGACGGATCCTGAAGCAGAGGCTCCAATATTTTGGCCATCGCATAAGAGAAGAGTCCCTGGAAAAGACCCTGATGTTGGGAAAGTGTGAAGGAAAGAGGAGAAGGGACGGCAGAGGACAAGATGGTTGGACAGTGTCATCAAAGCTACCAACATGAATTTGACCCAACTCCGGGAGGCAGTGGAAGACAGGAGGGCCTGGTGTGCTCTGGTCCATGGGGTCACAATGAGTCAGACACAACTTAACGACTAAATAACAACAACAAAATATTAAAAATAGTAGATCAACTAGTTGGTATGAAAAACAGGGATTGGAGTATAGTTCCTTTCAGCTTATCAGCCCTAGCCAACAAGCCCACTGATTGGGTTTACGACAACTGTAATCTAAACATCTATAGATCAGCAGGTTCCCATCCCTTTTAAAGTCCCATGGCACTAAAAGGATGCAATAAGAACCCACTACGACTTCCAACAATGCCCGTATAGAAGAGTACTGGGAGATTTATGCCATTGCTTTCAACGAGGCCTGTGTGCACAAATTACCAGTAAACCCATCTCCTAGATTGTTATGGCAAAGGCCTGATAGCTAGAATATAGTGGAAATTTGTGGAAATTAAAAAAACAACAACCCCCAATTAAAATGGAAACCATCCAAGGGCGAAGTTAGACTATTCTGCACCTTAGATTTAATTTACATGGTGCCTTCTCAAAGGAGAGTAACCCAACCTGCTGTATTTGGGGGCTCTCATGGTCATGTTGTCAAATGAAACCCTTGATGTATACCCCAAAGTTCTACTATTAAGAAACTATTGATTCCATCCCAGTTTTCAGGCATTCTAGAGCTCTCTTGCTGATTTTCTGCTATCTGACAAAGTTCTTGGTACTCCATCAAAGAGTTGAATCCTTTCACCTATTTCTTTTATCCTTTAGGAGGTGCAGGGTCGGCTTTTATTGCTGCATTTGATTTTTGTTTTTTAAACTCTTGCTTTTAGCTGAAAGCTGCTTTTATAGGTATACTGCATTTTTGGCTGTTTGAAATAGATATACAGGATATTGGTAATAATAAAAATCAGAAACATCACATCTATTTTAGATGTAGTGGAAGAAGACATACTGGACAAAATCCAATTTTAGCCTAAGCTAGAGTAGACCCATGGAAATCAATAGGATTTATGTAGTGTTGTTGACCAGTGAATCCAATTCATTTTAACGGGTCTGTTGGGACTAAAATTGAATTTAGCTCCATAGAAGCTATGGCACTGGAAGGAGGTACTGCTTCAGGGGCTAAACATTAAATCTTCTAGATTATATGACTATGTTTTCCAAATTTGCCAGAATATAATACTGCATTTTGACAAGGGCACAGCCAAAATTTGCAGTTGGCCCCAAACACTTTATCCTTGTTGCAGACTATCAGGGACAATTCAGGTTAGGTCTGATATATCAAGACCAAGACACCTAATTATTTGACTGCAAAGGAGTCCTTAGCATATGATGGAAATGGCCAGCAGGTGGGGAGGTGCCTTCCCAAAACAGATAATTGTACTCACAGTTAATTTGGTGCCTCTAATGAAATCCATTATTGGCAAAATTCTTTTTCCTATGGTCTCCAAGTGTCTCTCTGCCTCTTCTTTAGTAAGAGGACTAAAAGGGGCTTTGTGCTCTAGAAGGAATTAAAAGAAGTCACACTTGCTTCTAAAAACATACATACATACATACATACATACATACATACATACATACATACATACATACATACATACATACATACATACATACATACATACCGTATTTGCCTGCGAATAAGACGACTGGGTGTATAAGACGACCCCCCCAACATTTCCACTCAAAATATAGAGTTTGTTATATACTCGCCATATAAGACTACCCCCTCTTCCGTACACCTTCCACACACCAAATAAAAGGTGATATTCATTGTCACCATTGTACGGCTGCAGCATGACTGCAGCGCCTCTAGCCCTCCCCTGCATCTCCCTATGACCGGCACAAGTGTGCAAGTGCGCATGTGTAAGCTCTGCGTAGACAAAGGGCGGGCCGGAGCACTGCTGCTTCCCGTCGAGCAGAACGGGCCAGTCACGTCGAAAACGCTGGCACCCCTGTCTTGCTGCAGATGCGTGCCGTGGCCGCGCTGGGTACCGTGTGATACTGGACAGTATGTAGAATGAGGTGGGCAGGCACCGGGAGGCTACTATGGGCACCGGCTGAGCATCGGAAGGCCACTATGGGCAGCTATGTCTATCCCAACTGAAGTGCACCTGGTGTTTAAGATGACCCCCCCCACTTGGAGGCATGTTTTTCAGGGCAAAAATGTAGTCTTATATGCCAGCAAATGCAGTACATACAATCCAAATATGAATCCAAGTGAATGAACAGACAGAACCTGACCCACACTGCTTACCTGAGAAGCTTGGCAGTTTCCTACAAGACATCTTTTCTAGGAACTTCCCGACCTCTTTGTTTCTGAAACCCAGTGTCAACAAATAAGACTGTGGAGAAGGACTATACCAGTCAACTGTCTGTGGCAAAGTGTGTAGTCCATGAGGGTCTGAAAGGTAAGAAGAGGAGGAATATCTACTACCATTATTATGCAAGTGGTTTCTTTGAAATGTGTAAGATGACAGTCTTCATATTTTTGTTCTAAATTCCAGAAAGCAACTTTAAAAGTCAAAGCCGTCTCGGATTAAAATATTATAAATATAATTGAGGGTAATACTTTAACAAATTTAAAATATTATAAATATAATTGAGGGTAATGCTTTAAAAAATTAAGTTTTTTTTTTTTTTGCAGAAACAGCTAAGGACATCTACATTCAAGTTTCAAGTTGTGGACACAATTCTTCAGTACACTTACTGTAGAGATTCCCATAGCGTCGCTGCTAAACTCTTTTTCCTGTCTTCGGGGGAGGGGCGTTGCATCACCTCTGGCTGTGGATTCTACAGTCTCCATGGCCTCCCATGGTGGTTCAGCCCCCCCCATCTTCCTCTACTGTCCTTGCAGTTATCAAAAATCAGCTTTTTTTTTAATCCAGTGGCCCCCATTCTCTCTAGGCTTCCATGCCCTGTGGGACTTCGAGTGACAGCAGGTCATTGGGTACTGTAAGAAAGACTTGCGAGGGCTTCATTTTATAACAGGAATGTGCAATTCTTTTTTTTTTTAAATGTTGTCCTTGTTCCTTTTGGGGAGTATCTTTGGGGACTGAATATGTAACAAGGGTAGGCAGGACAGGAATTAGGAATGAGTAGGCTGTAGTGAAATGTTGACCAGGTGAGCACTGTCCACTTCCTTCTGCATATCTCTCCCTACCTGCCTGCTTCTCTTTATTCCTCCCCATTGTTCATCACCCCCCCCCCCCGAAAACCTTCCTTGTGCTTTAATCAAGCTCAGGGAGGAAAAAGCTTCTATCTGTGTGAACTAATCTCTGCCTTCCTTTGCCAGCTTCATTGTTGTGTATGTGAGTGGGAAGAGATTTTCATGGGTGGTGGCAGAACATGAATTAACTTAGGTAATTAATTAACTTAATTAACTTAGTTATTTAACTTAGCTACCATGCCCTCAGAAGTGCCTTCCTGCACAACAGTAACTTAATTAACTTAATTAACTTAATTAATTAACTTAGCTACCATGCTGTCAGAAGTGCCTTCCTGGACAACAATGTGATTTAGAACGAAAGGTCCCATTTGTGTCAATGGGACCCTCCCCATTACAAGCCTCATGATTGGGGAAAAACCACAAGCCAGACCCAGGGCCACTACCGGATGCATCTGACCTCCAGGTCAGTGGTTCCTCACTCCTGCTTTTTGGAGAATGGTGGGAGGCTATGCTTGCCTGGGAGCAATCAGCTATATATTTAGGCCCCGGGGCAGCTTAACTGGTATGTTTATAAGGACAATGGCTCCCATCAGTGCATACTGGAGTGGAAGATTATGCCCTCTAGCAGAGGTGGGCAAAGCGTGGTCCTTCAGAAGTTGGGTTGCAATTTCCAGCATTCCTGACATCCTTCTTTATTCAGATTGGGGGGTGATGGGAAATGTAGTCCCAAAACATCTGAACGCCATACTTCAACTATCCCAGTTCTACATGATACAATACCCATCTGAGTGAGTGTGTACAGAACTGCGAACACTTTCATAAAAATAACTTGGTTCTGCAAACACAAGCCAAAGATACAAAAAGTATTGTGTTAAAGGCTAATATATTCACTTCAATGTGAGCTTTCGACCCAATTTCTGGAGGTGCTTGTTTTCCGTGTCACCTCTCAGAAAGGCCCACCTGAGATGCCTCTTATTTTGCGCTCTGGCTGGGCTGCCTTGCCTTAGCCCACCAATTCCTCTTTCGTGGCAGCGTCCCACTTCAGGGGGCTGTCCCATCACCAGAGACCTTCACCCCTTTTCAGCTTTATTTTGTATTAGCCACTAAATTAACTACATTCTTTTCTCCTTTGGAGCTCCCAGTTATGTAAAGTAGTAGTAATGACTGCTCAGGGAAGCGTTTAATGTTCTTGGATATCAACTACTGCTTCATCCCCTTTGTTGTTTTCAAGGCCTATTCAATTTTTGCCAAGGGCAAAACGGGACTAACCAGATATAAAGGGGGCTCCAGACGGTATCCACACATGGGTGTGGTGGCTTCGCTTAGGGAACAGAGTGCAGGTCATTTGATTTACACATTTTTAATCCTCAGCCTATTAATGTTGATTCTCGTTGCCTTCCTACCCCAGAATAGTAATGAGTTGAGAGGATTGTAGTGGATAGACTCTGTGCCACACTTTACTGTTAACCATTATAAACAACCGTAAAAAAAAGGGGGGGGGGAAGGCTGCTGTAGTGCAGAATTAGGTTATGCATCAGGCTCTCAGTGGACCCCTTATCCCAAAAAAGGGGGGAATCCCATGCCCTGAGGTCTCACGGTCCTGAAGACAGCGGGACCCCGGCTGGTCCACGTCTGACCACCCCCGGACCCAGAGCCACAATCCCACTGGTGACCATTGGCCCAGGTGTGGCCCGACCACCCCCGGACCCCGAGCCACAATCCCACTGGTGACCTTTGGCCCAGGTGTGGCCTCAGTGCATCCTTCGCCCCGCACACTGTAATCTCATGATCCACAGCACTGGGAGGTTGGGTGAGCTATAACATTACCTGTGATTGCAAGGAGACTCACCGAACCTTGTTCATTCCACACTACCCGCCAGTGTGACTGTCCTGATTTCTACCCTTTAATGGCCCATGCCCCTCGGCCAGTGTGGGATAGGCAAAAAAATCCCTGCCTCCCACTGCCAATCAGGAGATGGGTCAAAAAAAAATTCCTATCCAGCCCCAAAAGGCAACCAGGAAACTAACACTAGCACCTAGGGTGGCCGGGTGCGTTGAGGCCGAAAGGAGGGAGAAAGGAGTGCACTTAACTAGGGCACTCCTTCTCCCTACCCTCTCAGGTTGCATTTGCAAGATTTCCTTTGTCTTGCACTATCCTGGGAAGGAGAGCAAAGAAACTCTGCCCAGGCAAAGCATGCTTACCTTGTGAAGTGGCCATCCAATATCTGTTGCCTGAGACAGCCATGTCATTCTGCCAAATGTTAGGACCCACAAGTGACTTATGAATTGGTGTTCATTTTGCATTTTTTGAGGTCTCTCTCTAGGCCAGATATAAATGGTGAAATGGTTACATAAACCTAAATCAGAACACTGCACTACTTTGAGGAGAATTGTCTGACTTCAGAAGCTAACCAGGGTCAGGGTCATCCTAACCAGGATGGAAGACCAGAGATCTCCAGACAGGACTAGAAAAGAATGCTGTCTGATAACTGGGACAATCACTGCCAATCATAGCAGAGTTGACAATATTACTCTAGACAGAAAAATGATCTCTCTTTTTTTGGTATAAGGCAGCATCTTGTGTCAAGTCCCAAAAGAAAAAACACAATTCAATCGCATCAAAATCAATGGATGTAAAAATGCTTAATTCTGTCTGGAAACCACAAAAAAACCCATTTGTAAATGTTAGTAAATGTCACCTGTATAGATGTATTCCACGTAATCGGGATGCTTTTTGGTAAAACCTTCCTTCAGCTTGTCTATATTTTCAGCCTTTATTTTAGTTGCAAATGGTGTGTACATCACCGAGAAGCATTCTGCTCGCGTGATGGCTTCCTCAATCATAGCCTTTAGAAAAAGGAAGAAAGATACGATACAGACGGTGTGCTTTTTTTTTTTTAAAAAAGATGAGCTGCTGTTTAAAAAGAGGGGGGGGAAATAAAGAGGAAAACGAAAAATAATTACCTCCATGAATGATATTTCCCCTTTAATAATTGCACAGTCATGCAATGATAACATATTTGGGGGATGAATATTAATCAGAGAGAAAGTTAAATTAATTCCAGAATGGTTTGCCTATCTTACCCTCTGAAAATCAATTTTAATGTAGAAAAAGAACATTTGTAAACAGTTTTCACTGTGGCAAGCCTATGCTTTCAATAGGAAGAATAAAGGCATTAGAGAAATTATCTCAAAGATAAAAAGAAAATGAGTTTTACTTTCTCTGAAGGTCATATCTATATCACCAGAGATTTTATTCAAAGCTTGGAGAATTGATTTAAATTTAGGTTGTTTCTAATGTGGATTATCCAGAGACAAAGCAGCACACACACAGTATAATGGACAGGCAAATGCTTTTATGACCCAAATAAGTCTACTTTTAAGGCCACTACTTAACACATGGCCACAAAACAAAAAATGCATCATCAAAAAACCCAACTAGACCAAACCAAAAGAACATTTGCATTTTGCTAATATGGGTATTAGGTATCCGGCTGTAGAGCCAGAGGTTGGAAATTTGCTTCCTCTCTATTGCTTAAATTCCAACCTTGCGATAACACCATACAGGGTAGCGTGGCAGGATAAACTCCTCTGTCACTGGGCTATTGATCCAAAGGGGACAGAGTGAGCTCCTGTTGCTTGTCCCATCTCCTGCCAACCTAGCAGTTCGAAAACATTCAAATGCAAGTAGATTAATAGCTGCCACAAAGCATTCAAATGCAAGTAGATTAATAGGTGCCACATTGGTGGGAAGGCAATGGCGTTCTGTGTCTAACCATGCTGGTCACATGACTAAGTGTCTACAGGTGGGAAGGCAATGGCATTCTGTGTCTAGCCATGCTGGTCACATGACCAAGTGTCTACGGACAAACGCTGGCTCTTCGGCTTAGAAATGGGGATGAGCACCAATCCCTAGAGTCAGACATGACTAAATGGTCAAGGGGAACCTTTACCCTTAATAATACCACTTACTTGCTGTGGGCTAGCTGCACAGGCACAACCTCACTTGTCATACACACTTTGTTTAAATTTGTCATATTGATACAAATGGTGTGAGACACTACAATGTGGGCAGGCGTGCACATTGTTGCTTGGTGGGCATGTCAGGGGCTAGCCATGATCTCATATGATAGGAATGCTGTGTCCTGCCAGTGACCACTTTTTTATTTTTTAAAAAGAGTATATGATCTTTGATTGCCACATGCTTCCCTTCGTCTCCAAGCTGGTACATCTGCTTTTGTGCATTAAACTACATTAAAATAAATGAATGAATTTAGGATGAGGTGCAGCATCACTTTTCCAACTCCAGCAGAAACACAAGAGACAAGGAGGCCTTTCTCAGGTCCACCTTCCGTGTAACTATTTCTTTTATTTGTTTTTGCAGAAATGCCTATTTAAAATATCCCAAATTTGGTTCTGACCTTCCCTCCTTTAGGACAGTCTAACAAAACTGTTTTGCAAAACTGTAACATGTCTGATTCTTTGGATGAGTGATTTTAAATACAGGTTTAAAGTAAGGATTCAGACCTCGGGATGTGTGAAAGGAGGTGGAAAGGAAAAAAAACTGAAGACACAACAGTGGGCACCATTTTGAACAGTTGAGCATCTTGCCCTCATGATAATTACTAACATAGGTATAGATGGAAATTTAGAAACAGAACTTACAAATAAAATTAAAAATGCTATAATTTAAGAAGAAACCACCATCGCCATCCAGCACATCTTCAAGACTTCTGTTCTTTAACTTCAAGCCAGAGATTGTCCAGATAGCACTCCAAATACAGCTCTTTAGTAGGGAAGAACTGTGGTCCTCCTGATGTTTTTGGATTGTAATGTCCATGATCCCTCACTTAGGCCGATGAGAGTTGTAGGCAGAATAAAAATCCGGAGAGCCCATAAAAATAAGAATACATTCAAACAAAGGGTTCTCTTCTGATGCAAAGAAATGTGCCCATGCACTTAGGGGCCCTGAATAATTTTATAAGCCTCAAAGCAGGTAAAAAGATTCAGGGATTGATGCGTTTGGTGGCATCCTTGCATTCTCATAGGTGAACATTTCACTCAACCAAACGAATGATGCTACAAACATGTTGAGGCCAACAATGGGCAACACATGGCCCATCTTTCCATCACTCCTTCCCCACCCTTCCCGTGTGTGTGTTAGAGGGTGTTTTTTGTAAAAGATAGATCCTCCTCTCCTCATCAAGGCTCTCTGCACAATTTTAAATCTTGGAAAATTAGGATTTTTTTTTTTGTCATTTAGAGTCCTGTGAATAAAGATGCTTCTTCCCTGGAAGGAGGCTGTCTTTGTTGCATGCAGAAGGTGACAGGAATAGTGACTAAAGAGGCAGGGCTAGTGCATTTCCCCTCCTCAATCAACTCAGCTCTATAATGCCCATACAGGAATAACTGCAGGTATATAGCTGAAGGATGACTAGTAATCCTATGCCTGTCCCAGCTTTTGTACATGGTGTTTCCTTCTCTACTATCTTTACAACTATCCTCTGAAGCAAGTTAAAATTTTGGGTGAAATGACATACCAACTCTAAGGTCGGACTAGGTAATAGACCCTGAAAGATGTGAACTGTTTTAGGCTGATTGCCTGTGACAGTGACATCAGATCTTCTCGGTCCAGGTAAAAGACTCTTATCCTGGATTGGTTTCCAATGGCATATTAAAGATTAAGCACAATTATGTGCAAATTTCCTGGAATTGAAAAACAAAACAATCTGTAGAAGACTTTTAATTTGACCAACGGGAGGCTGGAGCTTATTTTTTTTGCTCAACATCTCTCCTTCCCCTTTCCAAAAACACATGTTCTCCAAGGCACTGAACTGTTAGCCATTTCCCTGGCTTTTGAGATGTGAGCAAGCTTTGCTTTCATACTATAGCAATGGTTCCTCAAGCTTTGCTTTCATACTATAGCAATGGTTTCCCACTTTGGGTCCCCTGATGTTCTTGGAATAAACCTCCCAGAAGCCTTAACCACTAGCTGTGCTGGACCGGATTTCTGAGAGCTGTGGTCCAAGAATATCTGGGGACCCAAGGTTGGGAACCACTGTAAAGCTCATGATCACATCAGTTAGGACTAGAAAGAGTATCTCTTGGAAAACAAGCCAGTGGACTCATATAATTCTGAAAATGGATCTTGCACTTGCGACTATATTTGTTGCTTTCCCTAGAACTAAGAATGTGCACAGCCCAGAGCATATATATCCAGAACCTTGAACTATGTCTAGAAGGGGAGCCAGTATAGAGACTAGAATAACACTGAATCTGCTGTTGACACATGCCAAATGTTTTGTGACTTGGGGAACTCACGCATGAAATTGGAAATACAAACTCTGTGCAGGCATTCTAAATTGAGATACAGTCAACACAGGAGAGGGAGGCGAGGCAAGTGGCTAACAATGTCAATATAATATACACATACAACCTGCCAATAGCTATTAAAAAATCCACAGCAATGGTTAAGTACTGAAGAGAGAGTATGTGTATTTGTATAATGTTCCAAAGAAGATCAACAGAAGAAGGCAAAGAATGTGATCAAACTAATTTGCTGCCTGTCACCCAAAAGGTCTGACTAACAAACAACCTTCCTTTACGAAAGTCTTTCCATAGCAACGAATGGTCAAGAGTAAGAGATTTGGGTAAACACCACAGCTACGATATTCCAGTGGGAACACGTATGGTTGTCTAGTCCTAAATGGCACTATATGGATATGGAGTCTCCAGGATAAGGGAAACCCAATCATTTTCAATAGCACATGGACACAAATTCCAAAGAAGGTTATGGGGGGGGGCATGTATAGAAAACAGAAGGAGGGGACAATCACCAGGAAGAACAAGGAAATGATAGATCTGTGTTATGGAGAGGATGGAGAAATAGTATTGATTCAAAGTATGAGAAATTAGTTTTCACCTAAACATTAGGAAGAATTTCTTGAGGGCAAGAACTGTTTGACAGTGGAAGGGACTGTCTTCATGGGGGAGATGGGCACTCTCGAATTACAGGTTAGAAGCCTATTTGTCAGGAGTACTTTACCTGTGGGTTGCTCCTTCACCAGGGGTTGGACGCTGTGACCCTTAGCGTCCCTTCCAGCAGTACCCTTCTATGATTCTCTGATTTTTCAAACCCACAAAACAGTTCGTGCTCCAGGCATGGAATGCTGAAGGACTGGAAACAAGCTGGAAGGAGGAGTGGGATTGGACGGTGGGAATCCCAAGGAGATGCACGCCGCACATTGCGACATTTTGCTTGCCCATCCCACTTGCAACTTTCCGTAGTATCACTTTTTTGTGTGCCTAGCTGTGGGACATCCAAGCTGTATGCCCATCAGATTTGTACATTTGATCTTCAACTACATTTTGCAGATGGCAGGGACACAGCCTGAGTGTCTGTGTGCAGACAACTCGTACAGTGGAAGGGACTGCCTTCATGGGGGAGATGGGCACTCTCGAATTACAGGTTAGAAGCCTATTTGTCAGGAGTACTTTACCTGTGGGTTGCTCCTTCACCAGGGGTTGGACGCTGTGACCCTTAGCGTCCCTTCCAGCAGTACCCTTCTATGATTCTCTGATTTTTCAAACCCACAAAACAGTTCGTGCTCCAGGCATGGAATGCTGAAGGACTGGAAACAAGCTGGAAGGAGGAGTGGGATTGGATGGTGGGAATCCCAAGGAGATGCACGGTGCACGTTGCGACATTTTGCTGCAGGGCTTGCCCATCCCACTTGCAACTTTCCATAGCATCACTTGGACGCTGTGACCCTTAGCGTCCCTTCCAGCAGTACCCTTCTATGATTCTCTGATTTTTCAAACCCACAAAACAGTTCGTGCTCCAGGCA